CACCCGCATTGCAGCCGCCCCGGCGCGAGCCGCCGCCCGCTGCCCCTGCGGGCGCTATGAGGAGCCGCGCCGAAGCCGCCGCCTCATCCCCGCACTGAGGAGCCCGAGCGAGCGAGGCCGCCCGGCCGCTTCACACACACCCCTCACTCCGCCCGCCGCGGATCCCGCCGCCCGCGCCGGATCCTCTTCCGTGTTCGCATCCTTCACCTCGGTCTCGAGGAGCAACGAGCAGACCCGGAGATCGCTCCGCCGAAGAAAATAGTTCCGTGGCTGCTGCTTCCCTACGAGGCGAGGGGAGAGAAGGAGAAAACCCGGCGAGGGAAGAAGAGGAGCTCGGCCCTCGCCTGCGCCTCATGTGCGGATCCCGCCGCCCGCGCCGGATCCTCTTCCGTGTTCGCATCCTTCACCTCGGTCTCGAGGAGCAACGAGCAGACCCGGAGATCGCTCCGCCGAAGAAAATAGTTCCGTGGCTGCTGCTTCCCTACGAGGCGAGGGGAGAGAAGGAGAAAACCCGGCGAGGGAAGAAGAGGAGCTCGGCCCTCGCCTGCGCCTCATGTGACTGGCTCCCGGGGTGGGGGCAGCAAGGCCTAGCGACCCCCCGCTGCTTCCCGGCCCTCGGCAGACGCAGCGCCGGGGGGACTGGTGTGCTGGGTGGAGGCAGCTGTCGGGTCCAGTGGTGCTGCTGGGGAGGATGGTTTTATAAAGCAGGAGCGAAGCAGCCCTGAGAAGAGAGACCCGGAGAGGGTCCCCCGCGGGGGAGGGGGCTGGAATTTAATGTTGCATTTTTCACCCCTCTCCACCTGAGAGAGACGCGCGTACGCAAACCAGGAAAAGAATCAGGCGAAAGAAAGAAAGAAAGAAAGAAAGGAGGTGATCCGAGGGAGAGAGAAAGAGACCATGTCAGGGCGGCCCAGAACCACCTCCTTTGCAGAGAGCTGCAAACCAGTGCAGCAGCCTTCAGCGTTTGGCAGCATGAAAGTTAGCAGTGAGTATTGATTCCCCACCTACACTCTGTGCAGATTAAACATCGGGTTTTTTAAATGTAATTTGCACTGTTTGTCAGTAAACCTAATTGTGTGGGGAATTCTGGGCTGGTCAGTGGAAGAAGAGCTAGGCTGTCTCTAGCACCGTACGAGGCAGCCGCCTTTCTCTCCCTTTCACTCCCCCTCATTAACCTTGAATAGGCACCCATGGTTTCCATTTCGGCCTGTTTAACAAAAAATACTTTTGTGCCTTTTTGTCTCTTGTCTATAACAAGATTGTTGTCAGTTTGACCTGCTTGTTAAAGGGAATATTTCTGTTCGAATTTAGTTTTAAAGAGCTATGTGCTGCGTTTCTGCCTGTGGAGCAATGGAGGGAAGGAAATGAATTACGTGCACATATGTGCTCATTATACATATTTGTACAGTTGTATGCTTCTAAACATATTCTGTTGTGAAAAGTGAAATGTTTGCTCTAGATATGCACTGATAACTAGAGTGTGAGTACTTTTTTGTGCAGGCTTACCCAGAGATTTAGAACAGTCTATTTCCCATAATAGCTTGTGTTTCAGGCTCTGTTAAATGTGCTGGGGGGGGGAGAGAGAAATCTTGAATATGATATCTTGTGCACATATTGAGTTGGGAATGCAGGATTTCCTTTTTCACTAGCTTTCAGAACTGGGGCTATTTGTTAAAGAATGAGATCTGTGGCCCCATTCTAAACAGTAGCATTACATGTATGTTGTAAATTGAGTAAGTGGTTTAATGTGATAATCCTTGATCTTCCGGTTATGGCATTGGGATTTTGAGGAGAATTAGACATGTATATTTAAATCCTATTAATCAAAAAGGTGAAGTGTTGGAAGAAAAAGGCCTGATTGTGTATTTCTAAAGCTGTTACATATTTATAATCAGATTTTTTTTATTCCTGGCTTGTATCTGTTCATATGCAAAGGTAAAATGGTTTTGCTCATCTTTCTATGTGATCTATGTGAATAATTTCCAATCAAAGACACTTCAATTCCACACTTGTAGAAATCTAGATGGCTTTATGAAAAGGACCTTGAACATCTGATATACATTACTATTATTTAAATTGATCATTTTGAGGCTTGCATTTTGATATTTACACCTGGCAAAGCTGTATTCATATCCTGTTGCTTTATTTGAATATGTGGAGCTTTAGTTTACAGCAAGCTTTAGGTTAATTTTGAGCTCTTTTTGTCTCAGATTCCTGCATTTTCTAGTCTGAGATGCCTTTTGCTGCTGTGGTAGGAGCTTTGAATAAAAAGGTTGGGTTTATGGTTTGAAGTCTACCCTGTCATGTCTGCGTGATCAGGATACCTCAAGTACTTTTGCAGATTTTGAGTAGTTTGCCCATATTAGCAGCATAAGACTGTACTGTTGATTAGATGTAGCAGTAGCACATTTCACTTTTTATATGGAGAATATTGTATGACTCCATTTTATTCTCATTCATTCTCCTTCTATGAGAGTAGAAGAGGAAGCAAGATGTGTTAATCAATGTTTCTACATATAACTTTATGTAAAATAGACCTAGATCCAGAGCTGTCAAACCAGAAACTAAAATGGTCTAACCTAAGCTTTTCCTCTTATTTTTTTTTAAGTTTAATTTGATTCTTTCTTCATATATGAGGTCAAAGTTTAGGAAGCTGCATGCCCATAAATTGGTGTGAACTAACAAGATAACAAATACGATTGCTTTCCTACCATGTTATACAGTGGCATTTAAAGGCCCACAATGGTGATAATCCACCCCCATTGTTATCCTGTGCTCCAAGTCCTGTTGGTGTCTTTAATAAGGATATAAAAACGGAGCAACAGATGTAGAGGCAAGGTTTTTAGGGAGTAGGAGACATTGTCTATTCTGGAGGGCAGCAAGACCACTTGCCCATATGCGGAAAGGGGTAACTTCTAATGGGCATCAGAATTTTTGGTAACTTCTTAATTTGAATCCTGCTTCATCATATATAATTGGAGTTCAGGATTTGGAAAGGTAGACTTTAATTTTTTAGTGAAGATTCTAGCCCTTTTTATTGTGTGTATGGGGGGGAAATCCTGTATATGAACAGGTGTATATTGATGCAGTGCTGTTTCTGAAGTCTGCAGGCAGCACCTGTGCCTCCACCATGGCTCAAAGCTGTCCAAGCTGTAGCATAGTAGAAACTGACCTATTTGGAATCTTATTTCCACTACTTCTGTTCATAATTCTGAGAGTAGAAATGAAATTGAACAATCAAGCAAGTAAATGAAGCAAGTAGATGTTGCTGTGCTGCTGCTGTAGTAAGCCAGGAGGAGGAGCAGCAGTCCAGGAAGGTAACTGATCTCTAGGAAGAGAGGACTCAAAGTGGGCTTGGTGGGAGGGACAGAGTAGCAAAGACCCTGATGGTAGGTAGAGTATCCAGGAGGATCAGGGACGGGAACATAGCGAATGCACCTTCAGTTCAACAGCAGGGAATATATGTGTTTCGCCTACGTTTTATCAGATGCATACTCAGAAACTGATATGAAAGGATGAGTCTTGAAGTTTGGATCCAGGGACTGGCATAAGATTCCCAACAATCACCCCTCCTTTCCCAGTCTCAGTAAAAGGAACTTTTCATTTGTGCTTCACCCTTGGACAGAAGATGTTTCTTGCTCAATTCTCTAGGCTAACAGTTGTAGAGATTTTGGTGTCACAGGTTTCTTTTACCAAGGATAGAAGTTGGGTACTGGCAAGGCTTGAAAATGTGTTACCAACATCTTCCAAGTTCCACCCTTCAGTTGTGTATTTTGCATACAGCAATAGCACAAACTAAAATGGCCTTGCCTAAGCTTTTAGTTAACTTCAAGGGCTTTTCCTCTGTATTTGCAGTTTAATACTGGATTTGCAAATATTTCCTGCACAAAAAATGTTTAATTTCTGTTCCTTAAAGATGTACTAGTTGGTTACGTCTACACTGGCCCCTTTTCCGGAAGGGGCATGTTATTTTCAGAAGCCGTAATAGGGAAATCCGCCGGGGATTTAAATATCCCCCGCGGCATTTAAATAAAAATGTCCGCCGCTTTTTTCCGGCTTTTAAAAAAGCCGGAAAAGAGCGTCTACACTGGCCCCGATCCTCCGGAAAAAAAGCCCTTTTCCGGAGGGTCTGGGCCAGTGTAGACGCTCTTTTCCGGCTTTTTTAAAAGCCGGAAAAAAGCGGCGGACATTTTTATTTAAATGCCGCGGGGGATATTTAAATCCCCCGCGGATTTCCCTACGACGACTGGTGAAATTAACATGCCCCTTCCGGAAAAGGGGCCAGTGTAGACGTAGCCGTTGGGTCTGTACTTGATTCTAGAAATGAATTGAGGGCAATGTAAAAAAAATAAAAAAATTAGATGTTTGTGTCATTTTGACAGGTCTAGCTGTGATCTTAATCATTTGAAAAAGATAAATATATTAGTTGGATTTGTAAGTTTATATATAAACAGTCAACTAATGACTTCAGAACTTCTGGCTTGCTTTTTAAGCTGATGCTTGCCAGTAAAATCCATCTCTTGAAGCTGAGATATGGAACTTACCATGGCTTTGTGCTGCACCTACCTGTTTTATGCTGGGAAATGATGTGCAATTGGAAGTAATAGGGGAGAAATTATTCTGAAAAGTGAAGTGTGGCCTTTTAACACACCACAAAAAATGCACCTTTTCATAAAAAAAAGTCTTAAGTGGGGGAAGCTCATAACCTGAAAACTCAAACAATAAGTTTGAATGGCTGTGAAACTGACTTCTGTTCAAGTGTTTTAAGGAACATTTAGGACTTGAAACAATTAAAAATACTTTAAATATTGCTTTCTTCAAATTGTTACTTTGTCACTGCCCACAGCCAATCATAACAGACTAATTCTTCTCAGGCGGTGCAATAAACTTCATTGCATGTGTAAATGTCATATTTGAAATAGAATTGTGGTTTTTTTTCATAAAAACAATTTTAGTGAATGTTGCACAGCTACTCCCCTTAGGTTAAATGCCAAAATCTGGCTATCTTCCTGCATAATGTGTGTAAGCAGTTCTTTCTGTGACTTGCTGAAAGAATTTTGTCCCAACAGCAAATTTTCTCCAACCCCCCCCCCCCCCCCCCCCCCCGAAAAAAAGTAAGGAACCCAAAGTATGTAAGAAGCTCCAAAATGTATGAGTAGTAGGGATGTAAGCGGCTAGTCAAATGACTATTCTGTCAAGTCTCTATGGTGCAGGGGGGGCACAGCCGCAGCAGTCTTGGGGGTGATGTGAGCTGGGACTGTTTAGTCCCGGCTTGTGCCATCCCCGGGACTGCTGTGTTTCTGCTCCGTAAAGTGCAGAGCTGCAGGGGATAGTTGACTACTCAATTCATTAACCAGTACTTAACACCCCTAATGAGTACATATTATTCCCATGCTGAAATGGAGTAGTATCAGCTTGACAGTTGCATAGCCTACTAGTTTAGGATAGTAATGGTGTTTTTGGGTAGGATGCAACAGCTTGGTGAAAAACTTAAGATAAATGCCTCCCCTCCCGCCTCCCAAATAAACAGACAAATAAAAACCAAAACCCAGCTATTTTGGCTGAAAAGAAATTACCTATCTCCAGAGTCTTCTGACTGCTGAGTCATGTGTGGGCTTCAGTATCCTACCCCTCAAGATTTTTGGGAGGAGGAGTTTCCTCTGTGCAAAAGTTACACAAAATTACCTGATTCTCAACAGGGTGACCCTGATCTAGGATAATGGTCTACCATCAGCTTCCTTTTTAATTGAGGAATCTAGTTTATATGCCTCTGACATCTTTGACAGTTAAGGATGTCAGTGTGTAGACAACTACATGATTAACCGATAAGCCTGGGCTACATTTCAAAGGCAGTTCAGACTCCCTGTGGAAAGGGGCTGCTGCCTCTGTATCAGAGGCAGAAGCGCAGGGCACAGGCAGTTGGTCCATGCAAGGAACTGTTTTTTAAACTATGGGCCGGCCCTGCCTGCCGCTCTGCACTGCTGC